TCAACTTTGGACTCGAATTTAGCCCACCGTTTTCTGAAGATGGTTGCTTCCTCGGAACCTCCAAGTTGCCTAACCCGGTTAAATCTTCCAAAGCAGTTGAGTCCACACCCTCGAAGAAAGAACGAAGGGGATCATCCGCACCATGATTCCCTTCGTTGTATCGCTCTTTCACCGTTCGAGCATGGACTTGGTATAAGAAGGAGACCCTGAAATATCTATTACATTGGGCGCCTCCTTCGGGGCATGACCGGCATCCCGGGAAGTCTCGGCCCCGGTTTCCTCATCGACCTCCCTAATCCGAGGGAGATCAGCACCATGAATCTCCTATCAACAACCACCCATTCCTCGAGGGCAATCGGCCCATGGGCCATGAAACAATCATCCTCCTCGGGCTTATCTTTGAGCCGAAAGAGCGAGTCCGAGTCGGGTGCTCGAGAACTGGAGCTCTCCTTTGGCTTCCGGGCTAACCTTTTTCTTTGTTTTCTTCTTATCTAAGCTCGGGGATACCGGAGCCTTCCTTTTCATCTTCTCTCTTATTGCAGCTCTGAGTTGTCCCAAAGTGGAGGGATCAATAGACAGATCCTCATCCCTTACTGAAGGCCTAAGTTCAATGTTCTTAGGCAAACCTGCAAAAGGAAAAGTGCAGAAAAGAAGTTGAGTACAATACGAATAGGAGAGCTAGATGTTACCTATTTGAAAAACGATCTTACCATGATAACAGGCTTCCCAGTGGCCCCTCGAGAGTTTATGCCATGAGCGCTTGAAATAAGGCATCTTTGGGAAAATGCCCTCGATCCACTCCTTGAGCCGAGGGATAGCATTTGGGACTCGAGCAGCAGCTGCACCAATATGAGTACTAGTAAGGAAAGAGGAGATAAACATGAAATTAACGTTTAAAGGGGAGGTTGTACTTACAAGATGCATTCCACTCTCTGGGAATGGCATGAACTCGAACGGGATTAGGTCTTCATTTTTCACCCGGGCAAAACATCCTGGCCAACCCCGATCTCGGTCCTCATCATTACTCGAGAATGGGGCCTTATTGTCCCGGCGTGTTAGCTTTATCAGTCCCCTTCAGAAGATTCGGGGAATGTGTAGGTGGAGTTGGTGGTCGATGGTGAACCGGCGGGATTCGGTCTTGTTCCCGAAATAACGAAAGAGTATCATGATCCTCCATAGCGATGGATGGATCTGACCGAGGCATACTTTGTACCTATTACATGAGTTAAGAATCACCAGGTCCACTGAACCCAATGTAAAGGGATAAGTGTAAACACTTAGATATCCCTTAACATGGGTAAAAATGGCATCATCAGGGTCGAGGACCGCTATGTCCTTGCATGCTTATATGCAATACTTTCGGACCTTGGGGAGGACATCTTCAGTGATTGAGCATATATATATTGATGCCTCCTCAAACCGGCCCTGCACCGATGAGGGCATTTCAACCTTCAAAATTGTCAGCAACTGAAAATCCCCTGGGGACGAACATTTTCAAGGGAGGCTCGGGAGCCAGTTCTCGGTAACTCTATTAGCAACAGACCTCTCAAGGGTGACCACACCGGGAGTGGTGTCATAGATTTCGGCGGTCGATTGTGAAGAAGAAGAAGAAACTTTTTGGGGAACATATTTTGAAGTTTTGGCCATTGTTATCTGGAGAAGACTTGAAAAATTTGAGGAGAAATTGAAAGATGAAGTCAAATGCACTGATTTGGGGAGAAAATAAGCAAAAACTAGCAACTTAGTGAGAAATCTTGAAGTACAGAGGTAAAAATATTAGAGTATGAAGAAGGGTAGTAATATCCTAAAGGCTCGAAGGTAGAAGCTTAGTCAAAAGGTAAAAAATGAACGAAGGAGGGAAGTATTTATAGAGGGTTTGCGTCGTTTCACATTCAGGGATGACCTGCCGATAACTGACGTGTGTTTGAAGGCATAATGGCATGAGTGACAGGGCATTTTGGATTCTTTGTCGTTTCTGTCATGGCGTATTGGAGAAAGAATCAAAGTGTATATGTCGTTTCTCGTTGACTTACTCTCCAAGAACCGATGGGATTATCTGTATACGGGTGAAACCGATCCTGTTGGATGCCTCAATTCTTGATAAAGTAAACGGAGCAGAGATGTGACCGAAAGGAACCGGAATTGAGGCAAGGAGCCCTTTGAGTCGTGGTCTTGGCAAAAACACCTGCACTCGGAGGAATCAAGGCCACGCCCCCAAGTCCGATTTGAATCCCTGAACTTCAAAGAACGTTATCAGATAGTTGAGCACGACTAACAAAGGGCCGTGATATCTTATCGGCGCCAACCCTACACCACTACAAAGTGGCGAGAGCGGTCGAAACAGCTTTTACCCGAGATGGTCGGGATCGAATCCACAGGGAGGTAGAAGTGGGAATTGGATTCCTATCTAAACTAGAAATGCGTAGTGCTCTTAATTACATTTCTAGTTATCTTTGGTTAGTTATTACTTCTAATATTTATGCTAATGATAAGTTAAATTAAACAAAGAATGATTTCTTGTAAGGTTTCTAAATAGTTAAAGAGGCACTAGGAAAGTGACTTTCTCCTAGGTGAATACTTGACGGGATCTAAAGCCTAAGGCAAAGAAGTTATGTTAGGGATTGCGATATAACCAATGCACGGAATTACTCACTCTATACCTCTCGGTAGTTTGAGTGACTTTCCCCTAATTGACGTTCTCAGGACCAATTGGATGCCAAAATTGTGCAAGAAATATAAGCTCAAGTCGGGTATTACTATATCTAGGTTTAACCCTTTAATTGAGGCAATCAATCTCTTGATTACACCCCAATTCCTTGTTGGATTGATTTTCCTAGACTCAAGCTCTCTTTCTCAAGAAGAACCCAAGTCAAATAGGCACAAATTAGTGTTTGCAACCACTAATTCACATGGAAAACACAAATCAGTCCAAATATCAATTACCTATAAACATATAAGACTTAAATCAAAAGACCCATCAAATACCCACACTAGGGTTGAGCCACAACCCTAACTGGTCTAGCTACTCATAATAATGGAAGAAAACAGAGAAATAGATGAAGAATAACCCATATGATTTAATTACAAACTAAGATAAAGAAGATTCAGTGTTAATCTAGCTAAATATTACTCAAAAATAGCCTAATACAGCCGTTCACGTGCTCCGGTCTATAACAGATTATAAAAGATACCCTAAAAATGTGAAAAGAACATATTTATACTGGGCCAAATTTTCTGGACAAAAATACCCCCGACGAGGTATTGCGGTCCGCATAAAATGCACTGTGGACTGCAATGAGGCTTCCTGGCTTGATTAATCATTCTCTGAAACTGGCCACCGCGGGCCGCATAAAATGCACCGCGGCCGCGATGACTTCAACTGCGGTCCGCATACGGACCGAATTGGCCTTTATCTTCAAACTCCCAACTCTCTGAACCCTCATCTTTGCGGACCGCACAAAATGAATTGCGGCCGCGAAGAGGCTACTGCGACCGCACGAAATCCTCCGCGGACTGCATTGCCTTAGGCTCCCAAAAGTGCTCCTCTCTGAATCTCCTCACTACGGACCGCACTAAATGGCTTGCGGCCACGGTGGGTCTGTTGCAGCTGTGCTTTGACTTGTTCTTAGTACTTGTGCATGTTTCACTCCTTTTTAAGCTGGTTTTGACTAATTATCACCTTTTTGACCAAACCCTACAAACAAGTACAACATGTAAGCCTTTAGGATTATTTTGTATACATTTTTAATCAAAACTCAAGTAAAAAGGAGTTTAATATGAACTAGAATCCCTAGTTATCAATATCTGTGCCCAGCCGGATGTCACAACATGAATCTCGGCACGTATCAGTAGAAGATCAGTGATTATTAAAATAGATAATTTTACCTTTTATAAAATTTTACTTTGGGTAAAATTCCCCTACTATATAAAGGAGAGTCTGACTATTTATTAGGATCATTCTAACACGCATACCAAGGAAATTTACTCTTATTTTCTCTGTTATTCAAAGTTCTTAATGTTGTTCATCAGTTCTTCATTATTACGATCCCTGGATCGAAGAGAGGCATTACATTAAAGCTGTTACTGAGTCCGTGTTCACTCTCCATAACTAGTTTGACAACTTATCACGCCCTTTATCTGTTTAATCTAACGTAATTTATCATTTATATTGAATTAATTCATGTATCTTTAAAATCACATGTAAATTTAATTGTTATCCATTTTTAGGGTGCAGAAAGATTTTTGAACTTCACGGTTATTCATCCATATATGGGTAATCTCCGGCGGTCAGAGAAGAAAGGATCTCCATGAAAGCATGGAGGGAATGAAGAAGATTAGAGATCCAAACTAACCTTCGGTTCCCGTAACCAAGTTTTTCTTTCTTACTCCTTATGTACTTTTTTTTTTACTTCATCCATACTTTTTTATTTTTTTCTGAAGTGTGGGGCAAATCTAACATTTGACTACGTATCATTGAAGGATTTATAGCCGATAAAAATCGTTGTTATAGACGATGCATATGTAGAAAGTCTATTTGGTTCTAGTAGTTACTTTACTAGATTTTTCTCTTTTTTTTTTGTTTCTATAGTGGAGATAGTCGCACGTAATGACAGATCACAGGGAAATCCTTTTCTAGATCGACCAGTATCCGCGTAGGTGCTTTTGACCTTGACCAAATCTTTTTTAGTACGGACCGACCTTTTAACCTTCTAAAAATCTTTTTGGGCTTTGGATTGATCCAAAAACGACTGTTTTGTGCAACCTAGTGTATATATACACGAATAACGTAAAGAATTTCTACCCTAGCAGTGTATTTAACTTGACAATTTGTACACTATTCCTCCCCCAAACAAGCCATTCCATGACTTGATGTGACATGAGATGTGTTATCAAAAGAAAATGTGGTCGCTTGATGTATTAGTGTGATTTTTCTATTATTCTATTATATATAGAAAAGCCACCGAGGGCAAAATTGTCATTTAGCTCAATCCTAAAAGAAGTTGTTTGCATCTGCTCACGCACTCACGCAGTGGCTCTCCAGTTCTTTTTTTCCTTCTTTCTTTTTCCTTTCTATCTGTATTTTCCCCCCTCTTTATCTGTATAAGTATTTAGCTAACTCTCTGTTTCATAAGACGAATGGCGTGAAAAATTTACGAGGAAAAAAAACTAAGAGGTAGGTCAATATTCAAAGCAATTGGGTCTTTTCATGAATGAGCAGTGGGTTACCCCTTCAAACCGAACAACTTCGCTTTTGAGGGAGGGGTAGTGCCGCGTGAAATTGGAAAAAACTTCTGTGTAATTACCCTTCTGGAGTTTTAGCATCTCTTTTGTAATTTCTCTCCATCATTGAACGTTGTTCATAATTACCCTTTTCCTCTGATTGGTGAATAAGTATTTGATTCGGTATTTTTTCTTTGACGGACTGTTGCAGATTTGAATAACTACAATGACAAGTAGATAAACATGGTGCTATAAGTTCACCTTAAAATGCCTAGAAGCTACTCTTGAAGTGGTAGTACTATGTGAATTTATTGAAGCTATGATAAATAGTATACTCTACTAAGTTTTCTCATTTGATTTTTGTGGTGGTGTCAAATTTTCTGGAGATTTGGCTAATCAGCTTGTGTACACTATGTTTAGACCAACCCCTTTGCTGTATAAGTCTGAAAATAGAGATGAAGTTAGGGGAGAAACCATACTAATTCAAAAATCGGCCAATTAGACAGAGTCCATCACATGTTTGATTATATGACCAAAATAAAAAATCATTATAGAAAATGATTAAAGCAGAAGAGTTTCATATTCCTGTGATTATCATCAGCCTTACTGAGTTCAACTAGCATTATTAAGGTAGATATTTTTTAAACTCATTTAGATTAATGGACCCATCCAGAGCTGCTCAACTGATTCTTTTTTTTTTCTTACTTACTTACTTTTGGGGATAAGGGTGGACTTATCTCTTTAGTTGTGTGTAGCTGTGTATTCACTTTGCCAGTATGAGTAGGAAATAAAGGTTCTGAAACCTTCAATGAGGAATTTATTTCATTATCCGGTTTTATAGCTAATGGTGAGATTTTCAGCAATTTCTTTTCATCAACTTTGTGTCTTTTCCTTTAGTATCAATTTAAAGTTCAATAATTTACAAGACGAATCAAGGGGACTCAAATTTGTCTGTGTTTAAAATGATTGTATTTATGAGCATATGGTTTGGTATTGATATATAGTTTTTTCTGATAGACATATAATATTTGTGTAGTCTTAGTTGTTTTACCGAGCGACAAGTACTAAATACTAAATCCAGGAAAATTTGAGCGACAAATTATTTGCAAGGAAACTGCCAAACATGTGAAGATAGACTGTTGTCTTCTGATTAACATGAGCGAAGAATTATTTGCTAGGCAACTACCAAACATGCAAGGATAGACTGTTGTCTTCTGATGGACAGGTATGCACCTTGAAATATTCTTCTATTGTTCAAAGTTTAGTGATGCTGCCATGGTTAAGAGCTTATATTACTGATAATGATATATATGAAAGCTCATTGTAATAAAGATAAATGCATACGTACATCAGTATACTGCTATTTAAGATAAAATCGCACCACCATGCAAACAGGAGTCCTTAAGAAATTGTTATGGGTGCTTTGTTTAAGTTTTAAAAAGATGATTATTTTTCCAGTGACAACTCATTTAGTATCATCAAAATTGAAAAGGCCGGTCATTTTTTCAGCAACAACTCATTTGGTACGTAGAGATGTTCAACTGATTTGGTACTTAGAGATGCTATACCACATTCAAACATATTATTAATTAGAGAAGTTGAGCTATAATTCATGCTTCAAAGTACAAGGCCTACATGCAATACAAAATACATTGAGAAACTTCCTATTAACTTTGCAATGGAGCCAGAAACATATTGCTAAAAAAAGGAGATAAAGAGAAATTCACGTTGGTTTTAATATGTTCACCACATTTATTCTCTATTTTTTTTATATGGTTTGATAATTGGCCATTAGTTTAAAGTTCTAGCGTAAACCTTTTCAATGATGGCTAGCAGAAATGTCTAAAATTCGAAACGTTTGGTAATTTTATTAGAAAACTTTGAGATTAATGAGCCTTTGTAGTATTTTGTGTGAATTTAGCTTGATAAACACGGATTAGTGGATCCATCTATTATTTAGAGATTACACTTGGCAATTGTGAGGATGATGAAAGTGTTTATCTATACTATTGTCTTTTATTCTTGATTTGTTGTATTAGTAGTAGACTACTTTTTGTTGGTCTCCTGGTCCTTAATATTAGCAATGGAGATATTCACTGCTTTAGGTTAGTCTGATCAAAGTATAGTATTATTAAGTCGCTCTATGTTTAGCATATGAGCGGACATAGATTCCTTCTTTTATCTTCTTCTTGAGCTAAGCATTAGAGTATAAAGATGAGAAGGGCCTTTGAAGAGAAAGATGAACTACAACCAGTTTAAGCTCATACATTATTGTTTTCACATTATCTCCTCTCAACTTTCTGTTATTTACTGTAGAGCATCTTTTGTTTTATGGAGTTGTTGAATTACTAAATTCATTTGAGTTTTAGGTATCTGCATATATCACTTGAACTAGCTAAAAGTTATTATACTGATAATCTAATTCACTTTGTTTCTTATCAATATTTTTAAAAAAAATAACTTCGGATACTAAACAAGAGCGTAGGCTACATCTTAAATCTTGATTTATATGTATTGTAATGGTTTTTTTTTTTTTTGTATTTATCAGAAAGTAGTAGCACACTTGAAACTTGAAATTGAAGGCTGATTTGAAAGAGAAAACATCTTCAACATTAATTTATTGGAGTGCACTGCATTGACCAACTCAAGCAAACATGTTGGTTAAATGTATGCTTAAGTTGCTGCATGTGCCTAGAGGAAGCTGAAGCCATCGTTCAGTGAATTAGATTTTATCGAGCAAATGGTGTATTTACCTTTGCTTCTCAACTATAGTGCATGTTTCTAGGATTATTTAACTCAAAAGGCTGATGCCCGGTATTCTAGAGGAAGTTATCATAAGTTGGATGGGCAAGAAAAGTAAAGAATATTTCAGGGACGTGAGAATACAATTTTAGCCTGCATTTTTTAGGTGTTTGGAATGAAAGAAACATAGATGTTTCAGAAATGAAGAAAATTCAATCCACACACTAGAACATAAATATTTGTGCTTTTGTGGTTGTCTTGAACCAAAACGAAAGATGTATACAATATGAATATGATGTTAACCTCAATCTTTTATTAAATTTAGTAGTACAATCTCGCAGAATGAATTTGTTTTAAACTTATTTAAACATATCTGAAAGATAAACAAAATGCACAGCAATGTGTTGGGAGATTTGCTAATGAGGGTGTCCTTCACCTTAAAAGTTTATCACATAATTTGAAAGGATGAGGTGGAGGACAATTATAAGATGAATTAAGTATGATTATTTCTCAGCACATCCTCTACTTAAAATACAATTTATTATTTGCCTTTTCGATTTTCTCATCTTTTCAATCTCTTTCATAGTCCTTTTAGCTTCATCTGCCATAAAACACGTACTCCTACTCGCCGGCGACAGCAACCAAGCCCAAAAGTAAATATTACTGAGATTTTCGTGTATGTTTCTCTTAGCTCTTTCCTTCTGTTTTTCTATCTCTTCTTTCCTAAGTTTCAAGGCCATACTGATGGAATTTGGGTCTACTTCTGAATTTGATCCTAATTAATTAGTTGCCTTTCGAATATATGTGCATTCCACTTTCACATCCCAGATTTGCATTCCGTATACTCTGTTTCTTTTGTTACATTTTCTAGCCTAATTTTTTGATTTTCCTTTCAAATTTCTCTAATTTCCTTCAGTGTTTGCTATATTTCGTTTGGAGTTTTGCAGAATTTTTCTTCAGTCTTTCTTTGTTTATTGCAACCATGTATTGGTAATGGGTATTTGGTGGGTATCTCTTATTCACTACTCTCTGCGATAATTTCTTCCATTTTGTACGTCTGAATTGCACTTCTTTGTTGGAAAATTTTCTGCATAGGTTTAAACACGATTTGGGCATAATTAATTTCCATCTAGGACAAAAATGTTGAAGAAACAAACAAGATTTCTCATGCAACCAAGGTGTTTGATAATATGTCTTAAATACAAGAGCTGTGTTGTTTACTTGAGAGCTGAATTTGGCATTTTAGGTATGTATTTGTACTGGGTGCTCCTTTTTTAGGTTTCGTTTAAAAGACTATATTTGACTTTTGTATAGGTTATGGGTATTTGTTCCCTTTAATCACATATTAACAAGATTGTCTACTCTTTCTTGACATACAATGATTTGCGTATATTATTAACTTGAGAAACTGCACTTAAAAAATCAACCAGAAAAAATCTCAGTAAGAAACTTTACCATAAGGTGTTAAATTTGAAATGTTCATATGCAACATGGCATTACTAAAGGCTAAAAGTTTGAAATGGAGATTTCAATAATTGTGCTGGAGATTTTGTTAATTAATGGTTCTAATGCTAATTGGCGCTTTTCTTGATGTTTATACGGCCAATTAGTATCCCTCAAATTATGATTTGTTTTCTTTAGACTATGTAGCTTTCGATGCATGACCCCGAACTAATAACTGCATCAGTAAAGGTAGGCCCTCATGGAGCTTTCCTTCTGGACGATGAACAAGGCTGATACAAATAGATAGCTTTTTATGTATGACTAACCTGGATGAAAATAATTTTTACCCTGACATTAGTTATCGGGTCTTGGCTTCTTTTTAAGGCAATGTTAATTAGGCTTCAGCAATGAAGTATCTTTTGAAAGTTGTCCTTAATATGAGTTGGAACTGGTACTTGGCAGGCATTGCCTGGTTATCTGTTATAAATTCTTTCTTATTTTTGCAATACTTTAATTCTATTTGTTGTTATTTAGTGCAAGATAAACAACTTACCCACAAAAAATATAGAAATTAAAAAAAAATAAAGTCTCTAGATCAAGCATTTGACTTCCCAGAGATGCCAGATTGATGTTGCAATTATTTTGTTTCTTTTCTTGAAAGCTTGTAAAGTTAAGTGCCAGAAAAATGAATCTTTGAATTTGTGTATTTATACATAATGAAAAACTTTGGTTCTAATACTGAAGCATGTCATTTATAAATCTTAATATGTTTTCTTTATGCTTTTGTCCATGGATAAATATTTTCTCTATATATAGTTAGTCACATTGGAGGATCTAGAATTACATAACAGACTTTGGTTAGCTTTTCAATTGTGCAGACTATTTTATTCTGCTATTATTATTCATATGTATTGTATTGTGTTAAATGATATATATTGCTAGCATATTGCAGTTAAAAGGAAAACTAGAATATTGGGATTCTGCTTGGTCGTTTGAAGGAAAAAGCTGTTATTGCCAAGGTAATATACTTTTCAAGGATGTTCTGCCTTAGACAAGACTTTTCTGTCCTATAGACCTGCTTATAGTGATGGAAGAGTTTAACATCCAATACTGTATGCCTTTTGGGCTAAAGTCATACTATGATAACACTAACACATATTGAGATTCAAACTCCTCTACTTATATGACATAGAATCAATAAGTTCCTCTATTAGTTGTTTCGTGTAGCACTATTTTTCTGTGTCTTCTTTGGCTGAATTTGTAGTTTGATGCATTTCAACCTAAAAGCCTTCTATATTTGTCTCTCACTCACTAACAAATACCTTTCCATTTTTAACAAGATACTGAAACAACCTCTTTCCATTTTTATATAGCATCAATAACAAATGTTAGCAGACACTGATGAATTATGGGTTTAGCTATGCATGCCACATCATTAGTTTGTCAAGACTTCATTAATGACTACGCTGCCGCACACAATACCTTTATTTTTTTTTCTCTTTTTCTAATTCTAGACCCATTACCTTGGTCGATATTCTCTGTTGATTATAAGATAAATTATTTGTAATACAAAGATTTTGTGTCTTGATTCAATTGTACTTTTTCAGCAATTATAATACCGTCAAGATTTTATCATATACAAAACACCAAAAAGCTAATTGCTTAAAAATATGAATGTTGGGCTCGTGCAAGCACGGGCTATATCTATCTAGTGTTTAAGCAAAGTGTGCTCTGTAATCAAGAGGAGACGGGAAAATTATGCTTTTGCAAGTAAGCGAAACATGACTCAACTTTAGAACATAAGCTCACAATATAAGAAGCAAATTTGTAATTTTGCGAGGAAGTGTTGGTTGAACTTTGAAAGATACATACAAATCCTAAAATCCTTGACTATGTAGAGGTAACGTTTTCAACCTTGCTTCTCATCACTATAGAAGATATTTTATTTGTACAATGATTGCACTCAATAATTAAATTGTCAAGAAACTTAAACTGCATTAATAGAAATCTAAATTCAAAGAGTATTCGTTTCTGAATGAGAGGGAATCTGGAAAAGATCATTCAAAAAGGAATCATTAGTTTTGTCCACAAGTAGATTAATGATAGATATTGAAGATGACAAAAGCAAATAAAAATGAGCAAACCATTCTGAAGGTGACAAATATCTAAATCCAAATAGTGAAAAAGATTGATCTGGCAACACTTGAGTCGCTTAGAGAGTTTGATAATAAATCTAGAAAGACAGAATAATAAACCATTGTAACTTAAATTTGTTAATATCACTATCGTTTCTTTTTCCCATTCATTCGTCATTCTTTCTTATTTTCTTATCTACTATTTCTTCCGTATTTATTTGTATCTTTTTTAGGCGTATTTTGGAGAGAAAAAAAACAAGTCGTCTCTTTTTTAACCCATCATCTTTCTCTTTTTTATTTTTCGTCTTTTTTCTTTTTTCCTCTTTTCTCCTCTCTCTTATTTTTTAAAAACCAATTTCTACTAAGTAATAACCTATTTTCCTTTTTATTTGAGTTATACCAGCATTTGTAGTATCCTGTTAGCTTAGAATAACATGTCTACTTGTCTTAATTGTTTATCTGAACCCTGTGCAGCATGTTTAGTGAATTTCCTGCTTTCCTTGGCTTGAACTTAGTTTAAACTGTAGGCTTTCTTGCTGTAACTGTTATTTTCCGTTGTTTGAGCTGCATATATACTTTGGGACTACGGAACGGTATTCCGGGAGACCCCCTTACATATTTACTTTGCGGAACGGTATTCCGGGAGATCCCCATGTACATTTACGTTTGGGACTACGAGACAGTATCTCGGGAGATCCCCTATTGTTATATCTGTGTACTGAGCCGTTACCTCTCTATGATTTCATTCTTGTTAAATTTTGGTCTTTATTTTACTGCGATATTTCATTATGTCTTGTTTTTATTATATATATATATATATATATATATATATATATGTATATATATATGTATATACCAGTAGGGCCCTGACCAGACATCGTTACTATTCGACCGATGTTAGGCTTGACACTTACTCGATACCGTTGTGGTGTACTCATGTCATTTTCTGCACATGTTTTTCGTGTGCAGATCCAGGTACCTCCTACCAGCCTCATTTTTAGCTGCACAGTTGCTGCCATTCCGGAGACTTCAAAGTACATCTGTCGCGTCCACATACCTCGGAGTCTCCTTCTACCCCTTCTGATGTTGCTTCCCTTTAATTTATTCTAGTACAGATGTATAGAACAATTGACAGAGATCTTAGAAGCTTGTGACTTACGGTTTTCGGGTCTTGGGAGAATTGTGTACAATTCGAGAGTGATTATTGTATATGCCGAGCGGCATCTCAAATGCTTATTTAAATTATCTGTTATTGTTAGTTGTTAACTTTTAAGTTTTTCATTTCATTTCCGCAAATGTTAGGCTTACCTAGTTGTAGAAATTAAGTGCCGTCACGACAATTCACGAAGGGAGAATTTGGGTTGTGACAATAATCCCTGAATTATTTAGTGCTATTGCTTTGCTTAATTCATTGGATTAAAAATGGTATATATATAATATTCAAAATGTGCTTTTTGTTGAAGCTAGATAAGCTGGAAAAAAAAATTTGTTTCCAATTTTAATTTTAATCTTTGATATTTTAGTGGCTTAATTATAAGTAAAACCTTGATGTTTTCAATAANATATATATATATATATATCCAATTTTTAATCCAATGAATTAAACAAAGCAATAGCACTAAATAATTCAGGGATAATAGCACTAATCCTTGCCAAAAGTACTCCAGTCTATATTATGTTGCAAATGCAGATTTTGTAAGATAACGATTAGTATTTAAGTGCTTTGGAATAATTTTTTTTGATGTTGTAGATTGAGTACTTCTTTTATTGTAGATAAAGTACTTTTTATTTCAACAAATGAGTATTTTCTTTTTTTATGATATTAAAAAAGTATATTTTTTCATTTTACCAAAAAAAAAGTACTTTTTTTTCATGAAGTAAAAAAATTATTTTCTTTTATTTCACACAATGATGTAGTAAAAAGTATTTCCTTCTATTTCGACAAAAAGAGTATTTTCTTTTTAGAATGTAGAAAAATTACTTTCCTGGAAAAAAAAATTCTACTCTCTAACCAAACACTAAAAAATATTTTCTGATTTTTTTTTTATTAACCAACCAAATAATAAAAACTAAGTGATAAAATCTCTTATTTTTCATATAAATATTTTCTTGGAAAACATTTTCCACCAAAAGTATTTTCCTTCGTACCGAGGTTTAGATAACTTTTTTGCAAGTCCAAAAGCTCCGTCGGAAAAAAAATAAAAATGATGACGCTCCTTGGGACGCTTGAAAGGAGAAAGACAAACTGAAAGCAATTTAAAGTGAAAAAAGCAAGCAGGAAATAGCGTAGCTTCAGGGATAATTATAATACATTATTTTATAATTTGATCTTAAGATAATTAATCTCAATATTATACCACCTTATTTTACCTTATCCCATAAATCAAACGACCACTATGAATACATCACAACCGACGTTCTTCATCAGAAGCGATGATATTTTAATAGAACGGTGACACCTGGGTAGATACTTTATAAGAGTAATAAAATGTTAAACTTTCTGTTTGTATTTCCAATTGCTAGATTTTGTCTCTTTGCTCCCATAACTTTGTACATTTTTTATAACGTCCTAAATGATTAAAGCACCTTTTAGGGTTTGTCAATTAGTTAATGAAACTCGAGGGAACTAAAGTTTCACCTCTAATAATATGTGTCTAAGTCTAACAGAATCACCCTATATTTTATCTTAAAATAAATTAGTATTATATCAGCCATTTGATTCTGACATCTTTCTTTTCTAAACGGCCACTCACTTCCATTGTACTTTTCACTTTTGTATTCTACATGTACAAACATTTAATTACTTGTTCAGAGCTGATTTTAATGCAGTGCATTTGTTTGGTATTTTGGTAGTTACTTGCATCAATATGATTAATTTTAGCATAGCAACTCGCATAAATTAACACAATATAGTGTTTTATTTGTCACATAAGAAAACACAATTGAAGCATAACTAATGTTGCATTCAATTGGCTGTATAAGGTAGAATAATCAAAGTATAATTAGTGCAGTGTTTGGTTGGTCACATAAGAAAAAATAATCTCCACATAACTTATGTAATGATCGACAATATTAAACAACATTCGCATTAAGTTAGGTGAAATTCTATATATTATTTTATGCAGGATAAATATATATATATATATATATATATATATCAACAACAACTAACCAGTATAATCCCACCAAGTGGGGTCTGGAGAGGGTAGGATGTACGCAGCCTTACCTCTACCCTGGAAGGGTAGAGAGACTGTTTCCGAATAACTCTCGGCTAAAGAAAGTGAAGGAAGCCCTGATAGCAAGTGATAGCAAGACAGATGTTAGAAAATTAAATCGGCGATAACAACAAAGAGTAGCAAGATAGTATCGATAACAAGTAATATCAAGATAGTATATTTAGACAGATAAGTCCAAAGCAGCACACGAGAATATGACGAAGTCCTGCTAGCAAACTACGGAATTACCAAAGGTAAGTAGTAATATAACAAGACACGTGGCTATAGCAAACTAAGGAAAAAAAGATATCATACTAGCACTAATACTATCGAACTAGGGAAGACACAGGCAAACGCCCGGCTACCTACTAACCTTCCGCTCTAATCTTCCACCTCCCCACCCTTATATCTAGGGTCATGTCCTCGGTCAGCTCAAGTTGTGTCATCTCCTGCCTGATCACTTCACCCCAAGACTTCTTAGGTCTACCTCTACCCCTCCTATCACCTCCCAAGGCCAACCTATCACATCTCCTGACTGGAGCATTTGTGCTTCTCCTCTTAACATGCCCAAACCACCTCAACCTTGCCTCACGCATCTTTACCTCCACAGGGGCCACTCTCACCTTGTCCCAAAAAACTTCATTCCTAATTCTATCCAATCTAGTATGCCCACACATCCATCTCAACATCCTCATTTCCACTACTTTCATATGCTGAACATGTGAGTTTTTGACTGGCCAACACTCTGCCACATACAACATAGTCAGTCTGAAAAAAGAGAACGTAGTCACTCTTATGAAATAGAATAGAAGAGGAATGGTACTTATTTGATGAGCCTTAGGGGTTGCAAGACATTTTACTTCCAAATATTTACCACAAGGACAACGAAAACCCTATATATGACACTCTAGGCAAATCCCACTATCACACCCATTTTTTACAACCTCACTAACCCTATTAAATAAATAAAAAAAATTGTAAAGCTCAAAAGGGTTTTCAATTATGAAAGTGACAAAGGATTGTGTTTTAAAAGATATTTCAGAGTCGCCACCTGACATTGATTTCGGTGTGTCATGTCACCGTTTTTAAAAATAATTTTTCCTTTAAAACACTTTGGACTCCAAAACTAAGTCCTCACCAGAGATTTGGGTAAGGGGGTTCATTTGACTCGGGGAGAAGCTGTTAGGCACTCCCCGAGTCCCCTAACTAGTACGGTTGCATACATGATCAAGTTGGCTTTTAAAATATTCGAATTGAGGTAATAAACACAAAAACGGAAAATTAACACATAAGAGGCTCGAGGTCGTACCCATCTAATAAAGAAAATAAAACAAGAATAAAACACTACAAGTTCTACTTTTAGCCTCCAATTACAGAATACTACGAGGCATTCCCCGAAATAAAATATATATAAATCCTTCAGGGCATTCCCCGGATGAATTTAACTAAATGAACGATCTCTCACCTCAAAACTAACAAAAATTCTAAAGTACCCAGGTGATGACGGACTTAAGCATACTACTGTCGACTCAATAAAATATAATAATAACAATTGAAATCATACGATGCCCAGATACCGTGAAGTTTAATCCCTAACAAACCACATGCCTCAAATCCTCTTTTCAACCCCAAACCCCAAGGCCCCTTTAACTCGCTAACTGTTCAACCATCTTAATTGCTTAGTAAGTAAATTCATTCTTGACATCAAATATATTATGCAGAGAATACAAATCATCCATTAATCTAGAACAAGACAAAATAACAGAGAGTTTCATAAATCAAATTCACTATCAAATAAAGCAATTAAAATATTTCAAGTTAGAGAAGCGTGAATGGACCTTTGATGTCCAACTCGACCAAGCAGGAGCCTTCAATCGGAGACAGCAAACCGCGAATGTACACCTCAATTGGAAAGCCTCACTGCCTTGATCACGCCTCCAATTTCGCCGGAATACTTCACTTATACAGTCCATTCCCTTGTGTTAAAGCCAACGACTTTCATCTTTTGATTTGTTGTTTTCCTAAAACATGGGAACAACAATGTAATCCCGCAACGACGTACTCCTAATTTTCTTTTGGAGTGTACTGGTTTTTCTATGAAGAAAAAGTATGGTCACAAGCACTTTTTGGTATATATATATATATAAGATTCTCTCACCTATGGTCGACATTCTATTCCCCTTAGTCGTAGGAGCTCGTTCTATTTTGATTTAAATAAGCGAACTTAGCTTAGCTTCAAATCTTGAAGTGAAGGCTTTACCTTTCCTTTAATCAAATCAATGCAAGAGAATACATCCGAAGCTAATTAGCACGTAGGCAGCACTCCGCCATCAGTTGTACTGTTTTAGAGAGACTTTAAGTTAAGATACTAATCCAAATAAAAAAGTGACCAATATATTGTCACGACCCAATTCCCACTACGGACCGTGATGACGCCCAACGTCGCTGCTAGACAAGCCAACGGTGAACTATCCATGTAATTGTTCATTTTAATATTTTTAAAATTATTGGTTTTATTTAATAAGAGAACGATTAATAGGTGATGGTAATAATGTAAAGTATGAAATAAACGAAAGAGTGAAGTAGTGAATTTAATAATAAAATATCATGAAACATCTACTAGAATTTCCCAAAATCCGATGTCATAAGTGCACGAGCAAACTAGTAGAATATAAAAACCCTCTTGTACTACTGTCAAGAGTAAGATAGACAGAAAAATAAATACAACAAGTGTCACACCTCCTTTTTACACACCCGAAGGTATATATAGGGGAGTTTTTCCACTTTAAGTGGCATTATTCGAATTGGGATTATTTATTCAATTTTATTCAGAGTCGCCACTTGGGATGGTTTGTTTTCTGGTGTCCCAAGTCACCGGTTTATTTTAAAATCCCAAATCGAGGAAAATTCGACTTTCCTTTTGAAGTCTGCGAACCAGAAATTCTGAATAAGGAATTCTGTTAATCCGAGGGAAGGTGTTAGGCACCCCCGGATTCCGTGGTTGTAGCAGGGTCGCTTAAACTATCATAA